CAGACTACATAGACTATATCAGTAGGGGGCGTCTGCTTTCGTCATCCCAGATAGTGGTTATCTCATCTCATCTCGATCATCATCCTCTTCTTTTCATGCGAGATTTATTTTATACTACATTTATTTCATACAAACATTATTTCATAGTAAACTTAATTCATACTACATTTATTTTATTCTACATTTCTTTCATACTATATTTCTTTCATACCTTACATCCCATTACACATTGCTTATATCACCTACATATATATTTCACCACACAGATTTCTCATCTCACCTCAGAATATTTATTTCAGTCCTTGTTAGCTCATTTCTTTTTGCACTAACCACTTATCTTTCAGATACAACTTATTTCATACCATCTTCTTATTTCAGCCAATATCTTACCACTAGTACGTGATCGAAACCACCCACATGTATATATAGAATGCTCTTTTCCACTTACTTTGTTGCCCATGCTTGCATTAGAGAAGTAAACAGATAATTACTTAGCAGAAATCCCTTACTAGTAATTACCAGAGGTAATTATTATGGATTTTCCTCCAGAAGATAAGAAATTGAACCCAGAAACATTATCCCCCAGAGCCTCATCCCTACCAAAATCCCCCACATTCTCACACTCTCACAGGTGCCTTGTACAAGACATCAGTAATAAACCTCATACTAAGATTACCCACAGAAATAGCCACACCTTTTCTTTAATTCTTAGTGTAACTCTCTTCCAAGCCTTGACAAGAGGGCAGCTTCATCAGCATCCAAGTCTTCAACTCACATTTTCCCCTGTGTCGTTGTTCTTATCCCCTCTCAGCCCTTTTCTTTAGCTTGAAAAGTTCCACAACGGTGAATATCCATTGAATCATAGAATCTCAGTTAAGTTTCTTGTTCAAACCATGTGAATTATCGGACTTGGCTAGGCCCAAACCTCACACAAAAACATTTCCTTGGTGGCTACGTGAGCGAGTAGCGGTTGTGGCCAATGTCCAAGAACACAAACCCTTGGAGCCTTGCCTGGGCTGAGAGGTCAGTGCTCCAGCAAGCGTGACAGGGCTTGGGACCTCTTTCCCCCTTCAAGGGAATGGAGGTACTTAGGCTAGCTAGCTCTTGTCTGACTTTCTCAGCTGCACACCACCAGCCATCCCCCCCCCCATCTACCCCTCATTTCTGTCCCAACACGCAACCAAGAAATATTATAATTATATGAAGTCAAAGTGATTTTAAGTTGTGCAACAAACAACTTTCACTCCTGATGAATGATTATTGGGTTTAACACCAATGTCCAAGAAGAGAAAGTCATTTTATTGCTGCTATGTCATAACAGACAACATCCCAAGGGGACAAATTCATCCAATTGAATTCCTTACATATCCATTTAATCCTTTTTTACTTATTAAGCAACCTAATTTAGATATCCAACCAAAAATATCATTCAAAGATCACAGTGCTTGCTTGTCTGTCTTGCCCTCTTGATTTGCTCTCACTAAAACGAATGTGCTGCGTATCAAATCATTGGATGCTGCAGTACCTCAAGCTTCCCAGTTCTTGGGGTAATTGAAGATTTTCAAAGTGGAGTAGTCATTGAAAATATTCAGATTGGAACTTAATCTACTGACACATCAGAATGTATCTAGCATCTTTGAAGAAGAATGGACAGCGTCAGTTTGCTCCGATCCATTACCATATGTGGCAGACTTTTCCAAGTATCTGACCTGCATTCCACATCAAATATAGAGTCTCATTACCTTTAAAGAGCCTGACTCACTAAGGACATTTTACTTCTGAGGGAGAATGCCCTCAACCTATTCAGGGTAATCAACTGGGCCCATATTTTCAATCTACGGTAACTTCAGGCCAAGCAGGACTTTGATTCAGCATGCAAAAGAATCATGTAAGCTTCTGAGGAGTGTATATGCCGTATAATTAAATTATTGGCTAGAGTCCATGCAACCCCTTCACTGTAGACAGTCACATTGAAAGCTTATTAATATCGCTTGCATGTGCATGTGAGAGATTTCCCTGCTTGCCCAATCTTGGATCCTAGACAAGGCAACACCAAATCATGGGAGTGCTTGTGTCTTTCTGTGCTCTCATCACTCCAGATTAGAATATCTTTATACTTTGTTATCTCATTTGTAGCATCTTTTCTTTCACTATTTAAAGATTGAGTTTGTTCATCCAGAAGACAGACTCCTCAGGTCTTTCCCCCTTTTAATCTTTTGCTCATCCATTAAAATTCTCCCCATCCTTTGAAAGAACTATTTTTCATCTCTTGGGATCTCCAACATGTTGAGAAAAGGGAGACAATTAGGTTACGTGAATTTCAAGTCAGTTGCGTTGGGCTTGTTTTTATCAAAGGCAATTGTCTTGCAATAATAGTGAACTAGGCTTGAGAGGGATTTAAATCATGTTATATTCCTGTAATATGGTTAGATCAATCTCAAAATCCCTTGCCACCTTGTCACAATGTACTGGGTAGGTTGGGTAGGTAGAGCATTGGATTAAGCTTTCCTGATCACTCTTCCTAGGTCATTGCTAACTCATTCAATCTCAATCTTCTCAGATACATTATATTCTTCTTATTAAATTCCCTTCTCCTGTCACATTGTTTATAACAGCTAAACATTATCTGGGGTAAGTGAATAAAATTGACTCCTTGGGTTTTATGTTAATAACCACCCCCCCTGTTTTTGAATAGACTAAAGATGATCCCATTGAAAATATAATAGATTGATCCGTATCCCCTTTATTTATTGCATAGAGGCCTTAGTGTAGGGTGGGCAGCTGTGTTGAAATTTTGAACCAAAGCGCACAAGAGGTGAAGGGCCAAAAATATAGGATCTTATTTTTGGGAAGGGCTCCAGAAAAAGAGTGTAAGAGCCGATGATTTTTATTCACAAGTATCTAGCTAGGATTAAATAGGCTAAATACAAGTGTGTCAAAATGTGGTTTGGAGAAAATGAATAAAAAAGATATTGAATAAAAGACTGAGAGGAAGAAACATGAGTCTTTGGAAGAAACAAACCGTACAAAACTTCCCAGTATCTTTGAGTCAAGGCGGATGAGTTAATCAAGGAAAACATGCTATAAACCACAGATATTTAGAGTCATTAATTCTAAGTAATCAGACTTTATTGGATCAAACAGAAAGATCAGGAAAGAGAAGAAAAACATCGTAGAGACATGAGTTGTTGGGAAGAGCATCACTTAGGGTTCATATTTGACTCAAAAGGGGCTTAAAAACAACAAAAAACAAGCTACTTGATGAGTATAATCTAGTCTGATTTCATGATAGCTTGAAAGGAAAAATGAGTGATTTTGGGGAAGAGTAGAACAGAGAAGAGGAAAACTCAACAAGCTGTACAATTCTAATCCCAAACATGTCTCTTTACCTCACTCTGGAATCCAGATCCACATAAATTAATTGCTGGCTAACCTCATGCTTGTCCGGCTTAATCACAACATTAGAGCCTCATGTTGTTGGAATCACGCCTCGTGCCTTAGCCCTTGTATAAGCAGAGTTGTGGGTCGGTTGATGACATAATTTATCAAACCATCTAGAATACTAAATTTTGATGATCATGTACAGATAACAGCTGCCCACATGGTGCAAGGGTAGTGAATTGAATCATGAAGTGAATGACATCATGAATCTAGATGATGAGGTGAACGTGTAATCAAACTGTAGGTGAGTTTTGATGTTCATGGTCAGAGGACAAGATGATTTTAATCCTTAACAACTGCAATGTCCTTTCCTCAGAACATCATCTCCACATTCTAGCTCTCAAGTCACAAACACTGAAACAATCAAATTGGCGGGCTGTATCTTTCCACCTGTATTCTATTCCTCCAGTTAATAATGCAAAGCAATTCACCACATAAGGTATATTAGTCAATCAAGTAATGTTCGTGCTTGACCACTTTATTATTGCTCATAAGCAAGGAAACAAATTAGCATTGATGTTAACTAATCACTGAACTATGGTTTTTATATTTTTCTTATTCTTTCTTCTTACTTAAATAACCAGTTGTTATTATTATAATATATTTTTTTTTTTACCTCAAAGTTATCATTTGCCTAGAATTATTCTGCCTTTCAGGCAAAGGAATAATTGTCTTATCATGTTTTAGTTTCTTTGGTCAGAGTAGCTTGTAGTTGTTAACAAGAAGAGGGATTACTTTGAGCTTATAAGGAGATAGAGTTGCTTTAGTTTCCAAATTCTGGAAACATGTGACAGGTTTCCAGGGTCTCCAAAGGACTGGCAGAAGAGGCTAGATTCAGGCCCCTTATAATGCCCCCAGTCCAGTCTGTTATTGGGTGAGCAGGGGGGGGGGGAGGAGGTACCATCTGGTATGTATGGAATTCTGGCTCAAAAGAGTATCAGTGGAAATGGTAAATATAGTTTACTAGAGGAGGTATGATAAGAGCAACAACTCTTCTTACTCATCTTCTACAATGAATATGATCAATATCCAAACTCATCTCCTGCTTGTCTTGATATCATCTGAAACACCCAAACTCTCATAGGTTGGTTATTGAATATGCTCTGGCTCATGACTAAAGGTCCAATCACATGTATCAGAAAGAATGCAACCAGACAGAAAATAAGCAGCAACCAATGATGCTCATGACCCTGTATTCATCCAAAGTCACCAAGATCACACAAAACTAAGATAGGTATCATTCAAAAGGAGGGAAAAAAAGAAGTATATACAGATTGCCAAGCTATGACAAGTCCACCCATGAAACAGTTAAGAACAAACAAAAATGCAAGGCAAGAAAAAAA